TGCTACCAACAGAGGGTACTAGACAAGCTCCATAGCCAAATCCACCTAGTTGGTAGCAAACCTCAGCAGTACAGGAGAGCAGGCAATACATTTCACAGTACACACACACACACACACACACACACACACACACTATAAACAATTACATTACACACACCCTGCACCTATAATGGGTACAGGGTGACTAAAACATAAGAGAAATAAAGCAACCTACATAAATAGTCTGTCTGAAGGTTGGTACCATGGGAATAGCCTGGTTGGAGCCCAGCTGAGAAGAAGGGTTAGTAGGCTCCTCCCTCTGGACCTGGTGTGGCTGCTGGAGGGGAAGAAAGGCTGTCTCCCCTTTGGATATACAGCCGTGCTGCTGGGGGGGCAGGACCGACCGTCCCTACCCCCTGTGGTTTGGGCACAGAGACCACGGTCCCATCTGCACCGGTGTGGGGCTTATCATCTCCCCTTGGTGGTCTAGGCTGCCGCTGGGGAGGGGAACGAGACTCTCTCCTCCCGATAGAATACTATGCCACTGGGGAGCAGGGCCGACTGTCCGTACTCCCTGTAGCTTGGGCGCAGAGACCACGGTCCCATCTGTGCTGGTGGGGGGCTTAGTGTCTCCCCTTGGTGGGCTACTCTGCCGCTGGGGAGAGAGGGTAACAAGCTCCTCCCCCTTACACACTTTCAGCCTCTGGGGAGAGGGGGTAACAGGCTTCTCTCCCTGACACTCTCTCTGCTGGTGGAGAGGGGGTCCGACTGTCTCCCCTTTCAATATATTGTCCCGCTGCTGGGGAGCGAGACAGACGGTCTCTGCTTCCTGGGACTCACACTGCCACTGTGGAGGAAGGACGGCACCTTCGGCTCCCTGGAACTCACTTGGCTGCTGGGGAGAGGGACCAGCTGTCTCCTCTACTAAGGACACACACTGCTGCTGGGTTGGAAGGACGGCACCATCAGCTCCCTGGGACTCACACTGCCACTGGGGAGGAAGGATGGCACCTTTGACTCCCTGGATCTCCCACTGCCGCTGGGGAGGGAGGACGGCACCTTCGGCTCCCTGGATCTCCCACTGCCGTTGGGGAGGGAGGACGGCACCTTCGGCTCCCTGGAACTCACACTGCCACTGTGGAGGAAGGACGACACCTTCGGCTCCCTGGAACTCACACTGCCGTTGGGGAGGAAGGACGACACCTTCGGCTCCCTGGAACTCACACTGCTGCTGGGGAGGAAGGACGGCACCTTCGGCTCCCTGGGACTCACACTGTCGCTGGAGATCTGGGTTGGGTGCCCAGCATCTCTACCTGCCATCTGGAGGTCATCCCAGGACCAGTCAATGAGGACTGATTCTGCTTGTTGGGTAGGTTGGGGCTGCACGAAGCTGAGCAGGGGTTGGTGGTCCCTTGTTACCAGGTGGGTCATGTCTTTGCTCACCTCGCGTTCGTCAGCCCAGATATACATGCGCATCCAGTAGTTGTAGATGTCCCAAAACCTAGACACCTCCATGCTGCCAAGATCAATGTCGTCCTCCAAGGCATCCCATAATCAACCCGGGCCATCATAATCATCCCCCTCCGGTAAGTCGTGCTTTGCCGTCCAAGGGGTAAGTCGAATGGTATGCCACCAGAGGGCCTGGTATGCGTTCTCTAGCCAGATCTCTCGCCATACCAGGGTCTCTAGTCTTGTCACCCACTCATCCAAGGACTGCTCTCCCAATAGATACACGCTTCTGTAGCCGCTGCTCATCACTGGGGAGACTCTCGCCGCCACTGGGCATCTTCCAGGGCATCATACCAGAGTTCCTTTCTGTCTGCATCCATGTAGTCCACGGCCGCTTCCTCCTCCTCATCATGGAACGCTGTCCGAAAACTAGCCGATTCCATCCTGCTGTAGCCAGGGGCGCTGTACGGATACTAGCGTTTCTCTCAATTTGTAACTCCAAACGTTACCAGTGTCTCCGAGCTGCTTCTCCTCGAGCTAGGACGCCATCCCACCACTTGCCACCAATGTAACGGATCACCTGGCACCCCGACTGGGCACCTCCGTTGAAGGATGCTCCTAGCACTGCAGCAGACACCACAACCACGAGCCGGAGAAGCATTCGAATGCTCTCAAGCATCTGAATGCTGTAAGCAGCTGAACAGGAAAAGCATACAATCAGCTTACACTCCTTGCAATCAGCATACAATCCAATTCACCCAATAACGTGAAGACACTTCGTTTTTGAGGTCAAGCAGAACTGACTGTACTGGCACATACAGCCTCTTTTATTCACAATCCACTAACATAGTACTGCCCACAGGGTTTTGAAATACAACCAATCAATCCGTACAATACACACAGACACTCCCACACAAAATCCTCCCCTCTGTCTGTGATATGATTACTAAACACAATGGTTAATCTAATTATCACAGGCAGAGAAATACAGTATTATAAAACATATCTCATGGACCCCAAAACATGCAATAACCCCATAACCTGGGGATCTAGGTGAACCACATATCCAAAATTCACCCAGATGCGTTCAGTAGTTTGGAAGATACAGTTTAATGCAGATTCAGCAGAAAATATACAGGCTATATGAAACATAATTACTGTATAATGTGTCCCCTGTTGTATAGTTTAAAACTACTGCACGATGTCTTTGTGCACCAAATACCGGCGAGATGGCACCGTGTTGAAAAGTCCAAACAGTGTCTGTGACTTAAAATGGCCGCCATCCATTGCTCTCACTATGAGCTTCATCCATTGTTCTCACCATGTGCCTCTGATACATGAAATGGTGGCCACCCAGTAACTCCACAGTATGTCCCCAGATGGTTCTTAAAGGGCCAGCAGCAGCACAACACAAATCCATTATGCTCAAATCATGTCTTTAAAGGGCAATACATCCCAGGGGCCATAGTCACATGGCTGGCAATCAGTCTTCTCCAATGCCCAGTGGCGAGGTCGGTTTCACCACAACCGGGTTTTCCCCATTTGAATTATTATTCGGGAGGAGGGTAAGAGGACCCCTTGACCTGATTAGGGAGCACTGGGAGGGAGACCGGAGCGCAGACGGTACCCCCATCATACCATATATGCTGGCGTTCTGAGATCGTCTGGAAGCATTGCTAGGTCGGAAAGGGAGAACCTCCAGGCAGCTCAGACTCACCAGCGCACATGGTATGATCGGGGCGCCAGGGACCGTAGCTTCCAGGTTGGGCAGAAAGTTTTAATTTTAAAACCTGTCCGACATGATAAGTTACAGGCACCTGGCAGGGCCCTTTAAAGTGGTGGAACAAAGATGTGACACCACTTATATAATTGGCCCCTGCGCAGGAACTGGAGGGCGACGTATGATTCATGTGAACATGATGAAGCCCTACCAGGAACATTCAGAGGAGGTGACAGCCATTTGTGCCCCCCCTCTGAGGAGTTCGACAGCCTTCCCCTCCCAGATCTGCTGGGGGACGGTCGGCTGTCCGGGGATCTAGGGGAGGTTACGCTGGAAGATAGGTTGAGCCCACAGGAGCGTACCAACGTACAACAATTACTAAAGGAGAAACAAGATACCTTCTCCAATATACCTGGGTACACCCCTCTGGCCACTCACCGGGTAGAAACCCCAGGGCAACTTCCCATGCGCCAGACGCCTTACCTGAAGTGGTAAGGGAGAACATGCGCAAGGAAATCGAAGAGATGCTCCAACTGGGAGTGATTGCGCAGTCAGACAGCCCGTGGGCCTCCCCTGTAGTCCTCGTACCTAAGCGGGACGGTACAACCCGCTTCTGCGTGGACTACCGGAGGTTAAACGAAAAGACAGTCTCTGACGCATACCCTATGCCCCGGATAGATGAACTGTTAGACCAGATGGCCAGGGGCCAATACCTCACGACCATTGATCTTTGTAAGGGGTATTGGCAGATTCCCTGGGCCCCGGACACCATCCCTAAGTCCGCCTTTTCGGCAAGGTGATGCCGTTTGGGATGAAAAACACACCAGATACCTTCCAGAGGATGGTGGACCGGCTCCTAGATGGGTTCCAAGATTACACCTGTGCTTATTTAGATGACATTGCTATCTTTAGCAATACCTGGCAGGAACATCTGGCCCACATAGGAGCAGTGCTAGATAGAATCCGGGAAGCAGGATTAACCTTGAAACCTGATAAATGCAGTATAGGTATGGCTGAGGTACAGTACTTTGGACACCTAGTAGGTTGCGGGAAGCAGAAGCCTGAACCCGCAAAGGTAGAGGCCGTGGCTCAATAGCCAACCCCCAGGACAAAGACCCAAGTACTCGCTTTTCTAGGGACAGCCGGGTATTACAGGAAGTTTGTGCCCAACTATAGCGCCCTGGCCAAACCCCTTACTGACCTTACCCGCAAAAACCTTCCCCGCCAAGTAACCTGGACCCCGGAGTGTGAGCAGGCATTACAGCTTTTGAAAAATGCACTTATCAATGCCCCTGTCTTGGCCGCTCCCAATCTAACTAAACGTTTTCTTGTTCACACAGACGCTTCTATGTTTGGATTGGGGGCAGTATTAAGCCAAGTCGGGGCCGATGGCGGAGAACATCCCGTAGCCTACATCAGCCGGAAACTATTACCTAGAGAAGTGAGCTACGCCGCCATCGAGAAGGACTGCCTGGCTGTGGTGTGGGCCTTAAAGAAATAACAACCCCATTTTTTATGGACAGTCCTTTTCTCTGCTCACGGATCACAACCCATTGGTATGGTTAAACCGGGTGGCGGGGGACAATGCCAGGCTGCTGCGCTGGAGTTTGGCGCTGCAGCCATTTGACTTTAACATCCAGTACTGCCCGGGAAAACAGAATGGCAACGCTGACGGGTTGTCCAGACAAACTGACCTTGAAAAATGATCCGTGAGCCGCCCGGTCATCCCCAAGCCGATCCAGGTTGGATCAGACTGTGTATGCCGGCTTGTGGGCAAGGGAGAGCAGTATAGTGGATGACATTGGACTGTCCTCAAGGGTTATGTTAAAAGTGCAATTTGTGTGTGTATTCTCATGTATAACTAAAATTGTATGTAGCATTCGTATGTTTGTTCGTTAGTTTTCATCCGTATTCCATATGAATGAAAACTACCGAACATCCAGACCACCCAGGAATAATAATTCGCAACAATGTTGCAAACGGGTAATTGGTGATTCGTGTAATGTGTGTTTTGTCCTCTGGGTGGCGGCGCCCATTTTAAAACTCCCGAACAGACCTCCACACTACCCGTAAATTAGTGTAGAAACTACCGAACGGCTACCCGTTCGGTAGACAGAAACACACGAACAAGGGGGATCATTCAAATCCTCTCCAGTCTCCATAGCCAAAGTCATTCGTGCAGTTTATTCCCTTTTTCTGTGACCGACCGCAGGGCCAAAATGCATGGAACCAATTTCAGCTGTTACCTCCAGTGCAGTCGGTCTTTTTACTACTTCCACAAATCTCACGAACCCCAGGTCTGATCTGGGTGATTTTTGGATATGTTCTTCACCCAGATCCAGGCTACAAGGGGGATATATTATTTATGTTACCCTATGTTTAGGGGTACATCCAGAAACCCAGGGAATTTGTGTCCTGCATAATGGGATTATGAGTCAGGCTAAGGGGAGGGAATGTGTGGGCGGCAACTCATGTATAATTGGCTACTGTAATAATTATTGTAAATCCCTCCCTTGCATGGGAGAATGCTTTAAAAGAAAGTGAAGTGATTAAAAGTTCAGTTCTGCTCCTGATGCTGTGTGTCATCCAGTCATTGGGATTGATGTTGGGATATTGTTGGATTGTTTTGCCTGCTGGAATTATTGCCTTATGGATTTCTAATACTTGTTCCTGAGCCTTACTGGGATCTTAAGGGGAGATAACCTGTGTAATAGCAACTCTCCGCTACATATACCATCCTATTGGAAGTATATTAACCCCTATCTAGGGGTAAGTAAATCTAGCGCTCCACTTTAAAGGGTGTTTCTAGAGGGTTTTTCTTCTCCATTTCTAACACCACTTTATACAATTCGAAGTGCCGCTTCGAATCACTTCGGGAGTTTGAAGTGTTACTGTATCAGTCCAAAAAGGTGCAAACAGTGGTTTTAACATGTAACGGACCAGTACGTTAATGGACGCTTCCTAGCTTGCGCCGAGGACCACAAGCACCGCACTGGACACCACAACCACCACAGACTCCACAACCGCTGTAGCTTAACTGGAGCCTCACCGTCTTCCGTCCACCCTGGATCAGCTTCTGTCCTCCAGGACCGTGTGGGGAAGACCTCTCCTCTAGGAGAGCGTATCAGGAACAAGCTCTTAAAAGAGCTAAGTGATTAAAAGCTCAGGGGAGTATGCAGAGCATAGCAATCCCCAGTGTGATGATAGCAGCTCCCTCCAATAACGAGACAAGGCTACGTATTGAGGGTCAAACAGGATCTCAGGTTTAATGACACACACTCTGCTTTTATGCAATTCTCCCCTGCAAGGGAGACGCCCACGGACAATTATACAATACCCAATCACACAATGGTTACATCCCACACATCTCCTCCCCTTAGCCTGAGAGGTAACCCAATTATCCATACATTTTAAAACATACTTTTCACCCAACTTTCATAACTCTAAAACTATACATCCAATATTAATAAAAGTCACATATTATTATTAAGCACATTCCAAATACAAACATACCCAAAAATCATTTGAATCCGTTAAGCTGTTCGGGAGTTACATATTAGTCACTTTTGACCGACTGCAGGCACATTTTCATGCCCAAAACAGTTCCATGGATTTGGGCTGTGCGGTTGGTCTATTTTACACCGAGAAAATGACTCGGTGTAAATCTTCGAACAGGACTTAGTCTCCAGCTGCAGTGTAGAAGTAGAGTAGAACGTACGGGTCAGCGGTGTTTGTGCAATTGGGTAGCCGAAAACAGTTCCATAGATTTGGCTGCACACACCGCTGACCGCGTTCGAATGAGTTAAAATGGCCGCCGTCACGTGTTCGGTATTCGAATGGTGGCCACTTCGACGACTTCGACACTTTGACAACTTCAACAACTTCGACAGCATCCGAAGTGCCAGTTTAAAAGTACAAATCCTTTCTTTTGGCATTAAAGGGTCAGAAACAGCAATATAAGCCTCCAGTATGCACACATCAGTTCCTAGAAGGGCAATACATCCCAGGGCCATAGTCGCAGGGCAGGAGGCAGGCAAGCAGGCCTCTCCAGGACAAAGTGGCAAAGGGCACTTCGTCACATAACACATGGGCCATAGTCACAGGGTAGGAAGCTGGCAAACTCGCCACACAGCCCTTCGAACTCCCGAAGCGGTGTGAAGCATTCGAACACGTGGCGGCGGCCATCTTAAGCCGTGACCACAATAAGCGGTGTTTGGTCGTTGAGTACATGTAACTCAAATCGGACACTCGACAGCACGAACACCTCTGGACACATACCTTCCACTGATGTTCGGCTATTCGAATGGGAATCGAACAGCGTTCAGTAAGAATAAATTCCCGAACGAGAGACATAAACTGAGACTACTCCCAAAGCTATAAGTTCGGTATTTTATATGCTACTTCAATTCCACGAAGTAGACTGACCACACAGCCTGATTTCCTGGAACTCTTTTCAGACAGTAATTCTGTGTGTGGTCGGTTAAAATAAGACCTCCATGGAAATCCCGAACCCCTGAACCAATCTGGGTAATCAGGGGATATAACTTTTATAGGGTTTCCATGAGTATTAGGAGTACTTTTGTGGTTTTATAAAATATGTGTTTTTTCTGCCTGGAGATAATTGAGTTAATACAGTATCTTACTCGAATATCTGCTAGGCAGAGAGGAGGGATTCTATGTTTGTATATGGGAGTGTCATACGTTTAAACACTGTTATCATTGGTCTGTAACTATATATTGTAGTTCCCCACAAGGTCAAGTTGCATGGGGAATTGCATAAAAGGCTACCAATAAATCAGTTCCTGCTTACCCTCAACATAGAGCCTTGTGTAGGGGAAACTGCTGTATCTACCATGGGGATTGCTATATCACTATACTCTTCTGGGATTATAATCACTAGCTCTTATAAGAGCTGTTCCTGCTATACTCTCTGGGGTAGGAGAGGTTCACCCACTGGAAGCTGGATCCTGGTCTTGGGTCCAAGGTGGGTGGAGGACAGCGAGTGGGTGTGGGTACTACGGTGCTGATGGTGTCTGGTGGAGTGCTTTAAGTCCTCGGTGACCACTAGGAGCATCGATTGTCGGAGACACCTGGCCAGGTGCCAGGCGGTCCATCACATTTGGTGGCAGAGGTGGGATGGCTTCCTAGTGCGAGGAGAAGCATCCTGCAGACAACCGTTGGACTTTACAAATTAAGGGCAATGCTAGCACTTATGCAGCGTCCCTGTCTACAGAGGAGCTCAGCGGAATGGAGCGAGCTGGCCTGCAATGAGCATTCACACTCAGGGACGAGAGTTTTCTCGAATGGAGGAATATAGCCAGAGGGCAATGCTAGGAAGCTGGTCCTGGGGGGAACCCCAACTGGCAGGTGGAGATGGGATCAAGGTCTCTCCACCGGCCTTACAGGGATGCTGGGCAGCCGGCCCAGATCCCTAACTGCAACTGGAAGTATCGGGAGTAGGGAAACAGTCTCTCTCCCCAGCGACAGGCAGAGATACTGGGAGAGGAGACAACTGATCCTTCTCCCCAACCACAGGTGGACAGCAATCCTGACCCCAATGGTGCAGATGGGACCGCGGTCTCTGCACCAGACCTACAGGAATACGGGTCAGCTGGTCCAATCCCCAACCAACCCCGCAGGAATACCAGGAGGAGGAGGTAGGCGACCCCTCCTCTCCACAGCAGATTCCCAACTGGGTCCTGGGGTTAGTGAATGAGATGGCAATACGCACTGACCCCATCCCAGCAGTAGAGCTGACATCTGGGCAGAGGGCAGTTGGCCTCTGCCCTCCCCTTTCCCTTTGTCCAGGGCCTGAATACCCGCAGGTCACCCCAGCAGAAGAGCTGGCCTCTGCCCACCAAGTACCTACAACTCCATGCCTGGGAGTACAAGGCAGATCAGGTATGATGGACACTCAGAAACCTGGGACAGACAGAACAAAGTTGGACACCTGAGATCTACAGGTCAAGTACTTGGTTATGGTCTGGGTGGTCTGGCCGACTAACTCAGGAACCGACTGGCAGCAGGTCAGATACCTGGTTAGTCTTACCTTGGGGAGGAAGATATGTAGCAAAAGTAACCTCGCCACTGGCTTTTCTAGGAGCCTGTTTGTAAGCCTCTTGCCCTGTCACTATGGCCCCTGTAATAAACTGTTGGTGAAGAAGCACTTTGAACTCCCAAAGCGGTTCGAAGCATTCGAACACATGGCGGCAGCCATCTTAAGCCACAAGCACAATGAGCGGTGTTTGGTCGTCGAGTACATGTAACTGAAATCGGACACTCGACGGCGCGAACACCGCTAGACACATACCTTCCACTGATGTTCGGCTATTCGAATGAGAATTGAACGGCGTTCAGAGATAGTAAACTCCCGAACGAGAGACAAACTGAGACTACTCCCGAAGCTATACGTTCTGTATTTTATACGCTACTTCAAATCCCCGAAGTAGACCAACCACATAGCCTGATTTCCTGGAACTCTTTTCGAACAGTAATTTTGTGTGTGGTCGTATAAAATAAGACCACCATGGAAATCCCGAACCCCGGAACCGATCTAGGTGATATTTGGATCTGTTGTTCACCCAGATCGGGGCTATCAGGGGATATAACTTTTATAGGGTTTCCATGAGTTTTAGGGGTACTTTTGGAGTTTTATAAAATATGTTTTTTTCTGCCTGCAAATAATTGAGTTAATACAGTATCTGACTCAATTATCTCCCAGGCAGAGAGGAGGAATTGTATGTTTGTATATGGGAGTGTCATACGTTTAAACACCGTTATCATTGGTCTGTAATTTTATATTGTAGTTCCCCATAAGGTCCATGCGGGAGTACCCCTTGCATGGGAAATTGCATAAAAGGCCAGTGTGGCTACCAATAAATCAGTTCCTGCTTACGCTCAACAAAGAGCCTCGTCTTGTGTGGGGGAAACAGCTGTATCTACCCTGGGGATTGCTATATCACTATACTCCCCTGGGATTATAATCACTAAATAAATACACAGTCCGCTGAATACTCACACTGCTGAATACACACACACACACACACAGACTGCTGAATACACATACATGCAGACTGCTGAGTACACACACACACATTCCGCTGAATACACACACACACACACTGCTGCGTACACACAGACTGTGGAATACATTCATTCAC